TCCTTTTTGAGACTTTTGGGAACTTCTGTGTCCCATGGACACACATCTGCCCTGCCACTGTTTTGCTTTGTTAAAACTCTTGCTGGGCTTTGCTGCCCCAGAGACAACGTTTTACAAATTTCCTTTTTTTCATAAGACTCAGTCTCCCATGGACAAATGTTTCCTCTGCTGCTTTCAGCCCTCTCAGTTTTAATAGAAGCAGTTTTTTCAGATGTATCTTGTTTGTCTTGATGTCCTGCTTCCCAGGGGCAAACATTTGCATTCACTGTTACTTGTAATGCAGAGTCAGTGCTTATAGACGCTTTGCCCCCTCCTTTCAATGGGCAAACATCTACCTTGGGTTTAGATGGATCAGGGAAACTCCTTGGACAGATCTCTGTTGCTTTGAACAGTTGTACACATGGATTCAAGGTATTGGGGGCTGTGTTTTTTGTTTTGATAACTTTTTTGACTTCTTTGGATGAACTGGGATAGATGGCAGATTTCATGCCTTCTTGATGAAAAGGTACCATCAATGTTCCTTTGATCCCTAAAGGATTTAGGTTTTGGTATACACTTTCATCCTTGTCTTGATCATCCCAAGGACAAACATTGGCAGGTTCACTGTCTTGTCTTATTGATATTTGGGGGGGCTCTACTGTCTCCCAGGGACAAACATCTACTTTCGAAGCTTGTGACTTAGGATCTTTGGATGTTGTAGATTGTGAAGTGACTGAAATATCCTGTGACTCCCAAGGGCATGTTTCAACCCTACTGCTCTTTTGTCCCCTCACATTCCCTTGGTCTTGTGACTCCCATGGACAGACGTTAGATAAATCTGACACCTGGGATTCTTGGGAACAGATGTTAGCTTTGATGCTCAGTTGCTCTTTTGGTCCTTCCCCCTGCTGTGCAGAACCAGCTCCATCCCAAGGACACACATCTGTGTTGGACACATTATAGGAGGTTCTGATTCTGTTGCTACCTCTCCGACGAGTGGAAGGAGTTCTTGAGCTGCTAATAGTCTCCCGAGAACTTATGCTGCTACGTCTGCTGCTTTGCCGTGATAGAAACACGTGTTCGTGACTTCCCTCTCTCTGTGCATCATCAGCATCAGCATGAGAGTGGGCAGATTTAACAATCATGAACCTTCGTGGGCTTCTATCAGAGGAGTCCGCAGATGACAGTCTCACTGCGTTCTGCTTCACAAGGCAGGGCTTTCCATCAGTTGTTGACATACTAAATTTCTGCAGTGATTTCTTGTCCATGCTCGGACGTCTACTAGATGTTCCAGACACTGATGTTGTGGAGGTACTTTCCTGACTTCTTTGGGAATCTTCCCTGTTTAAATGTATATCCTTACTCACCTTGCTGCTATCAACAGATGACATAAGAGACTTCACAGAGAGCCACTTATTAGTGGTTGTGCGGAAGGAGAAGACCCGTTGATCCTTGGTCACCTTGGGTCTTGGTGTTCCTGGTACACTTGCAGACACGGTTACTGGGGTTTTAGAGGGCACACTGTCAGCCTGTGAGTCTTTCTCCACTGAAGGAGCCTTTTCAAAAGGCAATGAATGGTCCCAGGGACAAACAAGTGCTTGTGGGGAAGGTAGCTCCTTTTCTTCGCTATCCTTTGAGCTTGCATATGTAACATGCTTTTTGTTCTTCTCCCCTGATTGTTCCGGCTCCACCTCCCAAGGACAGACCTCAGCCTTGTCAAAGGATTCTGACTGGAGGGCACTTCGGGTCTGATCACCAATGGAAAGGCTCTGCTTTGACTGCGTTCCACTTCCACCAGATATCTTCGGTATGTTTTCTATAGAATGGGTGGTAGAGGAACTAAGGCTCCAAGACTTATGAAGCCTTGTGTGATCAGGATGCAAGAGATTGGTATCAATTGTTAAATTCTGAGCACTGGCTGACTTACAAACCCCAGGAGGAATGTCCAAAGAGTCTGTCTCAGATCGCTGGGAGGATCTCTTTACAGAATTGGGCCTTAAAGTAGACTCACGGAAAGAGGAGACTCTCTCCCTCACATAATGATGTTCATTTGGGGACTTGCATATGAACGAGGAATGGGATTTTATTGAACTTCTGTAACTGATACTTATAGTATCTGGTGCTAATCTTAAGGAATCAGAGTGGCTTGCACGTCTAATATGGAAGGACCCATCTCTCTCTTCACGGCTGCACTGCCGACTTACTGTTTCTGGGAACTCTGTGATGCGTTTCATTAATGATCTTCCCAGTGCACATCGAGAACTGCGCTTCTTTGATAGATGGGGGTTATTTGCCGTCATCTTCTTCACTTTGTGGACCTCTAACTGTGCATATAACTTCTTAAGCTCATCCTGATTCATATGAAGATGCCAGGAAATTGATATTGGAATTGAAGAGACAGAGAAGAAACAGAATAAAAGAAACAAGTCAGAAGAGATTCTAAATTACATTTGTTTGTCAAAAGAAAGAATAAAATATTAAAGTTTTGCATTACTACTTTCTGTTGTATGTCGAACAGTACAGATAAAACCATAGATTAATGTGTAATGTATAAAAATATGTATGAACCTTTTTTCATGTTGGACATAAAACCAGACTAAAGTTTGCACACAAAGGTGGGCCTAGACAAGATGTGATCCCACACACTCATGGGTTAAAGTCATGCACACTGACCAGTCAGCCAAAGGAATATTCCCATGGCCAAGCAATAGATTAGTCAGACCAATAGTGACAGGACCACACTGTCACACATATATTTTCAATATTTAGTAGCTTTAAACTGTATGACTTAACTACAACATTTTGGGTATCTTTCTACAAAGTGCTTACCATGGTTTTAGGTGGGTTGTAATGTCAGTTTACATGACACCATTTGTTCACCAACTTTACAACTTATGCCTGATGTCTCAACATTTTCACATAAGCATTTCCTAAAAAAATAAAGGTGGCTCTCTCTTTTCACGGATGGAAGTTCCCTGTTTAAAATGGATAAATTAAAAATAAACTCAAGGTCTTGTTTGCGAATGAAGGAAGAATGAGGTGCAGCTCAACAAACCGATTATTGCCGCTGACATAGTAATGTTTACTGTGGGGCGGTCTTTTGTTGAGAAGAGACATTTACTGGTTGGTTTAGGTTCCTACCCTCACCATGGGTCATAAAATCTGGTTCATTATTGAAAAATCAAGATCCCACATATTAGCGAGTCGAATGAGCTCCCTCCTCTCCTTCTAAGCTCGCTTATGCTTGACGTATCTACGCTCTGTGTGGAAATTAGACACGCAGACACTTTCCAACACAGCGTCTGCAGCATATTGATTGATTGACATTCTCACAGTGGAGAAATGTACTTGATATATGTAATATCATACTGTAATAACATACTGTAATAACGTAATGTAACAAAGTATCCCTTGCAGCTTTTCCACGTTGTATTCAATATTCTCGTAGACTCTAGAGGGCAGTAAAGGGGACCACTGGTGAAGATTCTCAGTCATCCAGGTCATAGTCAACTCAGAAAAGTTAAAAAAACAATCCACTGGACTTTGTTTCAAATTTTGAAGACGTTTCGCTTCCTATCCAGGAGGCTTTTTAATTCAAAATGTCGGTGTTAGCGTTGAGTTCGAGGCTTTATAGAGCACCATAATACACCATAATACATGCAGAAGTGGAAAGGTTATTTCCACCATTTCCAATGCCTCTTTGTGTCACCCAGAAGAGACAGTCATTTCTTTGCAAGAGTTGCTTATAATCTGTTTCTGAATGACATATTTTTAATCATCAACAGATGTTTATATTTTCTAACCAGTATTGACCTGTCCATGTATTTACACATTTAGGCCGGGGAGGGGCATAGATGCTCCAATAATGTAATTTGGGTGGGCAGCACCAAGCATAAACCAATCTCAAAAGATGGGGTAAGCAGCTCAGCTATCTGAGGGGCTTGGATTAGAGCTGCTGCTTCTCCACATAGAGAGGAGTCAGCTGAGGTGGCACTTTGTCTCAGGCATGCAACACCTAAGTGAAGACATATGGAGGGACATATGCTGAAGGACCTAATGTATATCTTGAGGGGAGATCACACTTTACCTGAAAATCATCTGGATCCATGCTGCGCTCACTTAAAGCAGAACAAAAGCTGTTGTTGAGGAATGAGGCAGAACGACGAAGATCCAGTTCATCTTCATACACTTCTGCTGCTATTTCCTCTTTTCTAGCTTTAGATTTGTAGAAAAACTAGGGGAGAAACACAAGTATGTTGAAGTTTATGAGATCAGCTCATTCTGAATGTAGCAGGACAGTGTTTCAAAGCTTTGTTAAACTAGTTAAATATGTATAAATGAAGATTGGTGATCTAAAAGCTAATTATTGAAGGAAAAGGTTACCATAAGATTATTTAATTTGAAACTTTGCATTCTGTTAATTCAAGCAGCCATTAGTTGCTTTCCTATTGGTTTAGGGACATCTAAATACCTTTGGAACAAGGAGCAGCATGAGTGTGACTGTGATGGTGACGTGGGTGTGGATGAAGGACAGCAGTAACATCCAGTCTGGATGGAGAGACTGAAAGGTGAACCTAATGAAAGATCCAAACACATAGTCATTCCCTGTCCAGCAAAATTTGTATTTCTTTGAACATATGAAATAATGGTTGTGCCATGGTTACCTAAACAGGTGGAACATGGAGGACAGCAAAAGCTCGTTGTGGATGGCGATGCCCATATAGCGAGGTTCATGAAAGGCTGAGGGGACGGGACGGACGGCCGTCCACAGGGAGCTGCCCCAGCACAGGAACAGAAGCTCAGCTGAAAAAAACAGGAAAACAGGCAGAATGTTGATTAGAAACCAACCTAAATGAGTCTGCTTTCATGTAACACGGCCTGACTCACAGCTTCTCTGCAAGAGCAAAGCCTTTTCTTTCAATGAAAACATCCAGAACCAAAGAACATTGCCTAAAATCTTGCAATAAAAGATCTGAAAAAGCCTAAATGAGCTTAAAATCTCTTGGGTCACCTAAAGAGAGCTCTGAACATGAGATGTCTTCATGTCTGACACATTTGAGGAACTTCTTCAAGACAGTGAAATAAATATATGCACAGATGCTAACGAAAGAGAAAACTGCTGAAATTAAAAGTTCTTCAGATAAGTATTAGTGCAGGAATTTAATGTGTTATTTAACAGGGTCATCACACCTTTTTATCTGTATTTCTTTTTCTAACAGATATTTTCATTAGAATTGTATAAAATTCACATCACGATTAGAAACATTTTATTCATCATAATGTGATATTTTACGTCACAAAAATATATGTTATTAAGTGGATTTAAGGATGTTCAAGAACACAATAATCTCAGATCACTTTTAGGCACATTAATCACCTTTAGATCAGTTAAACCTACATTAGTAGAACTTTACTATGAGTGGGGAGGTAAATATAAAAGTGCCAGTAGTCTGAATACTCGATTTCTGCAGTTTGTCTCATCATAGAAAGAAATAATGAAATGTGTGTATTTAACATGTAAATCATCTTTTAAGTCCTTTTTAATATTTTTGAATAGTTATTTACATTAAAGATTTGTATAGGTTGGCAGTCTTTAACAGTCATATTACAAGGTGAAACATTTACTGCAAAACAGAGCTTTTCTGTGATTTCAGGCTACAATAGTTTTAGTTTTACCCACTTTATTATGTAGTGTTTATATGTTACAAGGAAGGTCATTCTTATAGATTAACACATGTATACGTTTTGTTTATAACTACCTACTGTAAATGCGGCAATGATTTGGAGGTCTATGAAATAGTTGGTCATTCTTTTAAAAGCGACGATTTGAGAGGCTCAGATAATCAAAGCAAAGATAGTAGGGATGGTAGTTACCGCTGGCAACAGAGTAAATAACTTTTAACAGCACAGAACATGTGCTGAAATAATTAAAGCTAACCTTAAAAAAAAAAAAAAAACAACAACAACTGGTTGAAATTTTGGAGCTGTAACCAGTAAGCTTGAAATAAGGAGAATGTTACCGTTATTTATCCTTGTGGTTTGGTCTGGAACAGGGAAAATCTCATACTTCTCAAACAATTGATTTTGCTACATTTACCTAAGTTTTAAACTTTTAATTTTAAAGTTATTAAGTTCATTCCAAGCAAAAAAAAATAACAACAAAAATTTTACAATACACTGACATGAATGTTTAATAAAGCTCCGTAACACATTAAATCACATTCTTCACTGCGTTACACATTCAGCCAATCCAGGTCGGGAGGAGATGACTTGCTGAAGTTTGAGGAAAACATCTGAGCATGCCAGCTGTGGGAACAGATCACCTCTCTGATATTAGAGGAAGGTCACTAGAGAAATGTGAGACTGCTGCAGCA